GCTTGTATGTATTATTGCATGGTGGATGATTGTGGCTTAGTTATATTTGTTGTAATTTTAAATACGGCCTGCGTGTCGTGCCTCATCTCTATACTCTGGATGTAATTCTCTTCTTTACCTCAAATATTCTTTTCTCTCGAAAATTATAAGAAGACAAGAAGACGAAGTCCGTTCGTGATAGAGAATCCTAAGGAAGACGAGATGGGCCGGAGATAGAGATCTCTTGATCAAGGCGCTATCGTTTGTTTTTCTTTAGGAGCCACAATCATTTCACGTTTACTTATTATGCATGTGATGTATGATTGAATGTATGCATGTATGTGATTTTCGCTAGTGCATACGCGCGGTGTATGCCATAGGCAAGACTGCGTTATAAATCCCTCATAATTTTAAGTATGTGCCACCCCGACGCCCCGTCACTCGTCAAACCCAATTTAGATCGGTAACGGACTCACCCAAGTGAGACGCCCGGTTTACGTTGGTTAGGCGCGAAACCCGTAACTAGGGTACTGACTCGCCCCGGGTTAGTCTTAACTAAGTCTTGGTCATAAGGATGAGAGACTTAGGGCACTGAGGTGGGATTAATAAATAAAATCAGATCATCCAACCAGAGTTGTAAATTGTTACAATTGGAATTTATTCCTACCAGAAATAATTTAACTGTAAGGCAAGATGCAAAGCACAACTATAGTTAAATGAAATATGGATCTGGCCCAATTAAGAATTTTATTTAAAAGAATCCACCGAACCAAGAGTTGTAATAACGATTGCAATTGGAATGAATTCCTACCTAAATAATTTAACTGTAGGGCAAGATGCAAAGCACAACTATAGTTAAATAAAATATGGATCTTGGTCCGCTAGGGTATTCTTCAAATAGAAACCCCAAGTCAATAGGTTCCGTACCTGAGGGTAGTTGACTTGTTAGAAATAGTGGGAGAGTATTTAATAAAGACCTATTAGATACTTAATTCATGATAATAACTATCTTCGCAAAATTCTGTAGATAGCAAACAACAACACAAACAACCTCGCCCTGCGTTCCATTCTGGATAAAGATAAATTGAACGGAACAAACTTTGTTGACTAGCAACGCAATCTCTGCATTGTTCTCCGCATGGATGAGAAAGAGTATGTGCTCGAAAAGCCCATTCCTCCTGCCCCTCCCGCTAACGCCCCGAAAGCGGTCAAAGATGCCTACGAGAAGCACGTTAAGGATGACAACCAGGTTAGCTGTGTCATGCTGGCTACCATGATACCCGAGCTGCAAAAACAGCACGAGGACATGAAGGCCCACGAGATGATCGTGGCCTTGCGGCAGCTATACCAGGGGCAATCCAGGCATGAACGTTTTCTCGTGAGTAAGGCTCTCTTTAGTTGCAAGCTCTCTTCAGGGAACCCGGTCG